TAATGAAAAGTAGGAAAAAGTTAACGAGAAGTAACACAGAAAAAGAGAACATGGTAGGGAGGGGTAACATTTTATACTTGGTGTGTTTTTAGTATTTCTTTAGATATTTTTGTGATCTTTGTTCGTATTTTTTAATATACGGTAAGGTTTTAGATAAGGTACATAAATACAATATAAATTAGATACTAAAATAGTACTTTTTTAAAAAAATTTTAACCTTTTTTCATGTAACTAATATAAATAATTCATTTATTATTATTATTATATTAAACATTAATCCGTGCATTGCACGGGTCGCAGTACTAGTTCTCTTCTATTTCAGATTTCGTCTGTATACTGTACATCGCCAATACAAGCGTTCTCGAATTATTTCATTCCATGGAATAGTAATTAAATTGGCTCTTAAAACATTCCAATGGCTTTTAGCACAAAGTTGATTAGTAAATTCATTGTCACAGGAGTCACTTACTAAAAATATTTAGGCATTCTGAATTCAAATAAAATTGATTATCAGGCAAGTAGTGTTTTAATTTGTAATTGGTTTCTGTCTTGGATTACAAGAAAACCTTACTGTAGAAAATTATTCCAAAGAATCTAAAACTTTTAAACAAGCGCGTTACATATCTATCATTAATTAGATTTGGCTAAGTATCAATACCATCCAGATTTAAGTGGAAGACTTGTCCAAAATGTTGGTTGAGAACTCTTTTTCTGTTTGGTATACGCCCTTTTAGCATTAGGCAGGAAAACTCATTTTTCCACACGCCAAACTCTTTACTGAAAACTCATTTTTCCCCATTTCCAATTCTAAATGTTTCCAATTCGAAATGATTAAGTATTACTTGCTTATACTCGATTGATAGATTTTGATTATTAATAATCAGTTTTTGAGATGTTCTCATTTGCTTTTGTATGCAGATTATAGATTTTTTAATAATAAAAAAGGTAAAATCTATAATCACCCAAATTTTTGTTGATTCTGATTATTCTCTATAATCGGATTTTACCAAATTTAAAGCAAACGAGAAGGCTTACGTGTGGAGATATCTTAACTACCTAATCGAAATTTAAGATCTTTAACATTAGATGACACCAGAAAAAAACTTACAATAAAAGCTTTCTCTTTCTTTTTTAGTTTAAGAGAGATATTAAAACTAACAATAAAAAAAAGGGAAGGGACATTTTTACGAGTGAAAAAACCCCTAAAGTAATAGTAATGGCGTTTTTTATGCTGTATAAAATCCCTCATATATATATATATATATATATATATTTTTTTTTTAAGAAGAGAGGGTGAGTTACTGTAGCACCCTCTCCTTGAGACACGTGGGCTTCCTTCTGCTAAAGGCGTGGTTTTTTATGGTACCTGCTTCTATCAAACTGTAAACCGTTAATGTTGTCCGCTTCCTTTTCTAACAATCACCATCAATAAAAGGACTTGGAGACCTTGGGTGTTGAACTTAATTTGAACTTGTCTGCCTGTATATCTCATTGTCTACATGTGAATTAGTAGGATGAGTAGGGTAAAATCTGATATCCGCTAGTACTCAATTCGATGGTTAACCCAATTAGATAGCCGATGGGTAATCGTTAGAGTTTGACATTGATGAGGGGTAATCGATGAATAATCTAATATGATTTGGTAAAAGAATGGATGGTTGAAATTTACTTGACCCAATATAATAGACGGCTATGAATGAGGAATTCATGTACCGCATTTTTTTTTTTTTTTTTTTTTTTTTGTCGATACAGGAGTGCTTGGATCAATCCTTACGGGGCCCGACTAATCCCCTGCAGCCCGGGGAGGAGGTCCCACTCCACACCGAACACGTTAACAACGGGACTCAAACTCTGAAGAAGATCGTCATACCCTAAGAAAAGGGAGCGGACCTGCTTAAGCTACCTCGCGGGGCTGTACCGCATTGTACTACATCACAAATAGTTTGTGGCAGCGGGAGCGAACTGTTTGTTGTCTATGGTTCATGAAGCGAACTTTCCGACCCCCTATAGTTCGCAAAGCGAACGGCGTGGGCCGGATCCTTTTTAATGTTCATGCATTAATTGGGCCAATTAAATTGGTCCAATAGAGTGCATAAATTACTGTTTCACATTGGAGAGAGAAGGCAATCTACTGGTGACGTAAAAGTTATGCCATGAAACATCCTGATATAAATGGGAGTGTGTTTTGACGGAGTTGCTTGCTGTTGTGTTGGAAAATGGCCAGTCATAGCGTGAAAAGATATTCTGCTCCTGGGGCTCCCATGAGGCCCACAATTTGAAGATGGTCGGTGGCTATTTAGCAGCGCGAGTTCCAACGGCAGTGCAGGGCCAATGTTGGAAAGACGTGTGAGGTTGTTTGTTCACGGTAGGAAGCACCCGTTCACACAGACGAGCATTATGGATGAGACCTTCGATCTTAAATATGGCGTGGCTAGTAGTACCATTTGGTATGATTACATGAACCTGCCGCAATTGGGACAAGGACTTGGTAATAGGTATGGCAATAAGCGCAATGTGGCCTCCATAAACATCGATGATAGCGTGTTAAGGTGGGAATCCTGCTTTAATGGATGACGGAACTGCAGCCCAACATGATGGCCTCATTGACGACATATTGGGCCTCTTCATTGTTCTAGATCGGAATCTTAGCGACCAACATAAGCCCATATGTGTTCAGTGAGGTCAAGGGAACTCACGGATCTAAAGCGGATCTTGCACGTTTGTTCTGATATGCTCAGTAGATTTCGCATGTTGATACAAGAGAAGATTGTTGTGAGGAGTTCTAATCTTGGGAGTCGGATATCCATAGATAGAGACATTGCATTTTTTTTGTTTTGAAATGAAACTGAATTTCATTAAAGTAAATCTGCATTTGCAGCATACGTTGTAATCTCCTTTGGAAAATTTACAAACCACACATGGCTTCCCTCAAGTGTCAAAGACAAATGAGCCAAAACATGAGCAGGACCATTGTTCTTCCTTCTTACATGTGAAACCCGTATGTAGCAAAAGTTTTTGAGCATATCTCTGATGCCTCTGATCAAGTTGCCTACCATCGATAAGTCAAGACTTGCACTATTAATTCTCTGGACAATGCTCAAGGCATCCCCTTCTAGAATGAGGTGAGAAATACCAATGTCTTTTGCAAACTCTAAGGCTTTAAGAAAAGCCAAGCATTCCACATGCTCTGCACTTAGAGCCGCAGGAACTTTTTCAGCCATTAAAGCTTCCACCCGTCCTTGATGGTCTCTCACCACAACTCCAATTCCAGCTCCAGCATCAGAGAAAGCTCCATCAACATTTAATTTTAAAACACCTTCTTCTGGAGCTACCCACTTGTTTAGAGTCTCAGCCACTGGGAGCTCGGCTTTGCAATGTAAATTCCAATACTCCTGCAAAAAATGTACTGCATATTCACCAACGCTGAGCGCATCCCTTACTTTCCCTTCAAAAACCCTCTCATTTCTGCATCTCCAAATTAGCCAAATAATTATTGCTGCTAACTCTGCTCCTTGCTTTCCTCGTGCATTCAGAACCCAACCGAACCATTCCTTAAAACTAGAGACAGAAGAGTACTCCAACAGCTTTCGATAATGTAGCCCTTTCCACACTTCTGGGCAAAATCACACTCAAAAAAATATGTGCCTATCAGTTTCCATTTCACACCCACAATAGCTGCAATTTGTACTTTCGCATATTATTCTAGCCTTTAAATTATGTCCAGTGGGTAAAATACCTGAGCATGCTCTCCATATGAACACTCTGACCTTTGGAGGAATGTTTAGATGCCATAATCCATTCCAAAAGTTCTTTTCCATGCTACCTGATAATGATCCCTCTCCACCTTTTCCCAATTTTTTGGAGTTTCTTGCCAAATGATATGCTGATTTAACATCAAATATTCCATTCTTTGAATAATGCCATACTATCTCATCATGCGGCCAGCCTGCTGACACAGGAATTTTCTGAATAAACTCTACTTCATGTTTGAAAAACAAGGCATTAAGAAGGTGTATTTTCCACTTTCCAGATTCAGAATCAATGAGATCTTGTCCTCTTGCCTCAGGCCATAAATCCTTTGAATATTGTGATACTTTGAAAGAAGTTGGGACTGGTATCCATGGATCATCCCAAACATGAATGGCTTCACCGTTTCCCACTCTCCATAAAATGCCTTTATTAAGCAGCTTCCTTCCCTCCAATATGCTTCTCCATAAGTAGGAAGAAGTTGGCCTAGGCTTAGCTGTGAGAAACTCCATTCTTGCAAAATACTTTGCCTTTAGGACTCTAGCTGCCAGGGAATCTGGATTTTTTATTAATCTCCATCCTTGCTTTGCTAAGAGTGCTAGATTGAATGATTCCATATCCCTGAAACCCATGCCACCCTTTGCCTTTGGTTTGCATAATAGTTCCTACCTTAACCAGCATATTTTCTTCTCCTTTCCTCTTTGGCCCCACCAAAAGCTCCTTATGAGCGATGTAATATCGTCACACAAGCTCTTTGTGAGTCGGAAACAGGACATTACATATGTGGGGATAGCTTGAACCACCGTTTTAAGGGTAAATTCCATTTTGTCCCTTCAAACTATATCCAAAATCTCACTTCACTCCCTAAACTTCAAAATGGGACATTTAAATTCTTAAACTATATAATCCATCCCACTTTACTCCAAATTTTGACGGAATGCACAAAATCTAACAGAATAGTTGCCAATTCTGTTAGTTATTATTATAATTAAAGTTAATCAAATCCAACAAGGACATAAGTGTAATTTTATGAAATCCAAAGCTTTTGAGACACTCCAAATCTTTAAAAATTATTCACCCACCTAGTTTCTCTTCCTCCCTATCTCCCCCTTCATCTCAGCCACACACCGCCCATGCCACCCACTATCATTGTTTGCTACTAGAAGCTCTGATCCTGCCCTTGACTCGCAGCCTTTCATTTGTTAATTCTTGTAACATAATTAAAAAAAAATTTAAATATCAGAAACCAGATCAAAATCAACAAAATTTTACAACAGAAAAAAAAGAAAGCAGAAATTCAAAGAACATGCTTGGTATGAACAATTCCGGAGGGTCTGACATATTTGGGGTCATTGTTAACAAGCTACAAGGCTTAGGACATGCAACTCCGTTTGGACAGCCTGTAGCCGTAGACAATGTGAATCTCCTCCAACTCCAACATAATTAGTCATTCCCAAATTCAATCTGAATCTCATCAAGACTACCTTCTGTTGCTGTTTTGGATATGAACTATTCATCTTTTTCCCGTCGTTCTTCACATACACCGCAGTTGCCTGCGCAACTTTCCCCCCCGCTGCCTTAGGAATTTCCTGTGCAACTTTTCCTGCAGCCGACTTCGGAATTTCCGGTGCAACCCCCTGACAACTTTTCAATTTTCTCGATATTTCCCTCTCTTTTCCTGGCGTTTCTACTTTCTGAGTGAGATAAAAAGACGAAGCTGTCCTTCCCATCGCTATTGCTCCGATGAAGAAGGTTCCGAAGCCTCCACCACTTAGACGAGCACAAACCGGTGGAACTACTTTTCTTGCACCTCCCTTCCTCCGCTGCTGTCGCCATTTTTGGGTTCCACACGCAGTAACTATCAGGCTGAACTCCATCGAGCTCGTCAGCTTCCGAGGATGAACATGACGACGGAGGATCTCTGTCTTCTATAAAAAGCTTCCTCAACAGCAACTTCCTTGCCGCCGTTGCCGGAGGCCGCAGAACTTCCTTAGGAGGCTTCTGATGAGTAAAACCCACCTCCTCTTTCTCGTCCTCAATGCCGTCTAACAACAAATCCTGATTAAAAAGCAGAAAACAAGGCCGGATTTGTCTGTTATAGAAAATTTCATCCGCCGGAGTAGGGGACGAAATGAAATCCCGGCCAACAACAGCAAACTCAAATTCTTGTCCTCCTCATCATCATCCTTGTCCTCCTCATCTTCGCCACCATTCTTATCAGTACTTTTTCCCTCGTCAATCATAAGTTTTACGCGAAAATGAACCCATTTTCGCGTAAACTTTCCTCATAATCTGTAAGAAATGAATCAGCACCACCATAATCTTCGCCATCGCCGCCATAATCATGGTTTTTGGCGCGGAATTCTTCAACGACTCGAGCAGCGATTTCTGCAAGTCGGCTAGAAGAGTGGCTGGTGAAACTGGGAGCTGGAGAAAGTGAGATAACTGGCTGGGCTGCATTTTTTTTTTAAAACTGTTCAGAATTCATATTGGGTCTCATGAAATTACATTTATATCCCTATTAGATTTGGTTAAATTAAATTATAATAATAACTAATAGAATTGGCAGCTATTCTGTTAGGTTTTGTGCATTCCGTCAAAATTTGGAGTAAAGTGGGACGGATTATATAGTTTAAGGATTTAAATGTCCCATTTTGAAGTTTAAGGATTGAAGTGAGATTTTGAGTATAGTTCGAGGGGACAAAATGGAATTTACCCCCGCTTTAATGAGCATTTCTTTTCCTGCTTGTGACAAAATTTTCCCCTTCCAGTCTTTAAGCTTGCACCAAATTCTATTTTTGACAAAAGCAAATACTTCATTTTTTGATTAGCCAATCATATACGGCATTCCTAAGTAGATACCTTTCCTATCATCAAGTTGTACCCCTAACTTATCACGCAGCTTCTTCTGCATTTCTTCTAATATGTTCTTGCCACAATAGAGCCGCGATTTACCAAGGTTCACCCTTTGCCCCGATGCCCGTTCATAAATGTTGAGAGCTTCCATAATTGCCTGAATACCTTGGTTATCAGCTTTGGCAAAGAACAAGCTGTCATCAGCAAATAAAAGATGGGAAATCAAAGGGCCTTCGTTACTCAATCTTATTCCATTCCAAAGGCCCTGTCTTTCCATTTTCCTGATAAGGGATGAAAGTCCATCAGCACATAAAATAAATAAATAAGGCGATAAAGGATCGCCTTGCCATAGACCTCTGGAGGGAATGAAATAATCAGATTGGTTCCCGTTAATTAAGATTGAGTAAGAAATTGACCTCACACATTTCATCACCAGTCTGCTCCATTTCTGCGGGAACCCCACAGTATTAAGCATATACTCCAAAAAATCCCACTCTACTCTGTCATATGCTTTACTCATATCAAACTTCAAGGCTAGATACTTATCTTCATGCTCCTTTCGATGGTCCAGCCAATGAAACATTTCAACTGCCACAATCACATTATCAGTAATAAGACAACCTTTGACGAAAGCACTTTGGGCTTCATCAATAATATGGGGCAAAATATTCGGCAATCGGTTAGCCATAGTCTTAGCTATAATTTTATACAAAACATTGCAAAGACTAATTGGGCGAAAATCAGAAACTTTAGTGGGGTTCTTGCACTTAGGAATTAAAACAATATGAGTTGAATTTATCTTACCTAACTTTGTGCTCCCATTAAGGAAAGATAAGGCCATCTTCTTTACATTAGAACCAACTATCCCCCAGAATCTTTGATAAAAACCAGCATGTAGACCATCCGGACCAGGTGCTTTCCAAGGATGCATCTTATGCAAAGCATCATAGATCCCTGCTTCTATAAAATCCTGCATCAGCTCCTCCCATAGATCAGCATGGATCCTTCGCTCCACAATATCTGTACTAAACGGGAGCCGTGAACCCTCTGACTTAAACAGATCTTTGTTGTAGTCCACAATATGCTCCTCAATTTGCTCCTCTGAATTGATCCAGTCCCCACTTTCAATTTGCAATGATTGGATAGTATTCTTCATCTTTCTTTGATTCGCTTTGCTGTGAAAATAAGATGTGTTACGGTCTCCCTCTTTTAGCCAGCTAACTCTCGATCTTTGTTTCCAGTAGAGTTCCTCTTGTTCTATCAACCAATCAAGTTCATTTCTTAGGCTCAATTCCTCTGAGATCATGGAATGAGGATTATACTGCACAGACTCCAATTTTGACTTTAGCCGTTTAATCTGGGTTCGCAAACTCCCAAATTTTCGTCTTCCCCAAGCATTAAGAGAAAAAAGAGTTTTTTGTGCACAGTGTGCCACATTTTCAATAGGGTTGTCATTGAACGTTCCGGACCAATTCACCTTTAAAATGTTCTCACATTCTTCATCATTAAGCCACATTTGTTCAAATTTTGGGGATTGCTTCTTCCTTTTCTGGATCCTAGGCACACATGGCACACTACAAACACTAACCTTGATTGGGACATGATCAGACCAGGAGGCAGGAAGATGACTTACAGATGAAGTTGAGAAGAGTGAGCACCAGTCCGGTGTAGCCACTGCCCTATCCAATCTTTCCAAAATTCGCCTGCTAGGATCCTTTCCTCGTGACCAGGTAAATCTAGAGCCGGTGAAGCCCAGATCATGTAGGTTTGCTTCCTCAAGAGCTCGACGAAATGTATCTATGTGGGACTGGATTCTATCCCTCCCTCCACTTTTCTCCTCTATCGATAGTATTTCATTAAAATCACCGGCACAGAGCCAAGGTAGTGAAAACAACCCAGCCAGAAGTTTCAGCAACCGCCACGAGTGTTTTCTTTAATTAGCAACTGGGTTACCATAAAACCCCGTAAACCTCCAAATAAGTCCTCCTTCCTCTTGTTTTACAACCGAATCAATATGACCTTCAGAGAAGCTTTTGATGGACAAATCCACCTCCGCTTTCCACAATAGAGCTAAGCCTCCTCTCCTATTCATACAATCCACATAAAAACCATTTGAGAAACCGACTCTACTCCTGACTATATCCATTTTTGCTTTAAAAAGTTTTGAGAGACATTACATTACGATTGGATATTGACTCAACCTATTCACTCATACGACTTAATTTTCTAATACAGTTGAAGAAACACGGATTAGAATGCACAAAGGATATTTAATTGAATAACTAATTTATCAAATGATAACTCTCCCTTGTTACATGGACAAGCGCAGCAGAACTTAAAGAAATATATGATTGGGCCGTTATTGTCCAATAATAATTATTGATTGATCCTCAAATTCTCTTTGTTATCATTTCTCAAATTCTCAATTCTTATCATTTTAAAATGTAACATAATAGTTAATTAACCTGGTGTGTTGATTTACACTACATGAAAAATGGTTTTAGTGACAAGATTCTCCATGACAACAAAAATCTTGTCACGATTGATACGGTTTCGATTGAAGGTCATCACTAATTACATCACTAATCACATCAATGACCATAACAAGATTATCACTAATTACAAGATTGTTACGGTCATCGAAACAGTATCAACTATAGTGATTCTCCATGACCGTAACATGATATATTGATAAATAAGTTTCCAATTGCTCTATCATGTAAATTATTATAAATTAAATTATTTTATTCAAATTGTTATTATGTATTGACAGACAACAGGTAAACAAAATTTGGTTTCAACTTATTCAAGCTATTAAAATTAAGAAAGTCCATTTTGTATTTACGAAATAAACTTTTTTTTAAGCTGTTAAGCATACACTTCATTGAATTTTTTTGCCTTTCTCATATACTTTATCCTATACTATAATATATAAGTATATATATTATTGTTTTGAATTGAAATATAAACCGCCTATGCTATAATATATAAGTATATATATTAATATTATTTTGAATTGAAATATAAACCTATGCATAGAACGTGTTAGAATGCTAGTTTAAATGTATTTGTGTATCTATATATTTGCTTTTTTTTTTCAGACAATAAATTTTATTTTATGCCTATTCCTATTTTACACTAATAGAAAGGGGTGGATCTGGGGGAATAAATAAAAAATCCGAAAGAGGTGGATCCGAAAAGGTCAATAAAGAATCCGAATGAAATTGAACCGCTGCTAGTGATAAGTGCATAGTTTACGTGCTTTTAGTGCGTTTTATTAGTTAGTTTTGGTGTGTTTTAATTAGTTTTATAGCTAATAAACTAAGATTCTAGTGAAAATATGCATTTTATGGTTTAAAGTGTGAAAATTGTATTTCTATGAACTTTTACGGCAAAAACTTTATGTTTTTGTAGGTTTAAGAATTCAATCATCAAAGGAAGTAAATTAAGAAGAGAATTGGATGATTGATGATGTTTTGAAGTGATAAAAAGAGAATATGAAGTGCAAGAGATGAAATGCAATCAAGTTCTAAAGAAAAGGAGTTTCACAGCTTTGACACCTTGTGGTATTTTGACAATATCCTGAGTGAAAATGATCGGATTGAGGTGATTCTTAAACCATTTTGAAGCCAAGAGAGAGATCTACATTTGGTATGAAGACATTGAAGTCCAGTTCGGTGGTTTTCATAGTCAAAAGGTCGAAATACTGAAGTACATTTTCTATGGTCGAAGCTGAAACAAGTTTTTGACCAGTCAAGGGTAATTTGGTCATTTCTCAGTCCACGGAGCTCTAAATTAGGTGATTCTTGATGCATTGGAAAGATAACTCAAATAGCTACAACTTTCATGTTTTACAAAAGAGCTAGTTCAGCCTCTAATATCGAGAAAATATCAGTTGAAATGGATAAAAAACAGAGCAAGCGATCCGAACCCGGATCCAATATGATCTGATCCCTCGTCTCATCTTCTGGACAAGTGGATCCGAGACCAGAGGATCCGAGCTCGGATCCACTGTAGTAGGCCTCGGATCCCAATGAACAGTGAAGGAAAAAATGAAGAAAAATGCGATCCGAGGGGTATTTTGATCAATCCGAGCTCGGATCTTGCCCTCGGATCCCCAATTTCGGCTCTGCAACTTGCTCTGCAACTTGTGCTCTATTCACACAAGCTTTTTGACCAATTTATCTGCAAGAAATCCGGCTGGAACTGAGCAAGCAAGTATAGAGAATTCAAGAAGCATCTTTTGGTGAGTCCAAGAAGCAATTACATCAACTTTAACAACTCACCATGAGCTTGAATTCCTCTATAAATAGCAGCCTTGGAGGAACATTTTCACAACTTTGGAAGGCTAGAGAAACTCACCAAAAATGTAGTCTTCACTAGTTTTTCTTAGTTCATTAGTATAGTATAGGTAGTGTAGTTTATCCATCTTGTGTTTGTAGCTAGATTTGGATGAAGATTGAGGAGCAAAGATGGAGAGGTTGATCTCATGTGACAAGGGTGATATCTCTTCTACTACTTTCTCTCTTGTATTAGATTTCATGTTTAGCTATAATACAAGTTTGGATTTGTGTTTTTAACATGTTTAGTTAAAGTTTATGCCTAGAGTTATGGTTGAACTTGCTATATCTTGTTTTTTATGTTTACTTGGTTATTTGATGGTATTATTTTGAGCAAGTTATTTATCACTTTTGCTTTTCTAATCATGATTAACCGGCCATTAATTGTGATTATCTAAAGGTGTTAAGATTGCAATGAGAATTGGAATTTAACTCTGGTTCAAGGAAGTGATAAATCTAGGGAGTACACTCACGAGAGTAGAGGTGCACCTATGTGGCTTTAGTGACTTGTTCATGTAATTTCATAGAAGAAATGAACTTGTAATTAATTTCATAACCACGAGAGTAGGTATGGTTTAGCTACAAGTATAGTTGATTCACTACGAGAGTAGGTTTCACATACATTAGGAAATTATGCCATAACTAGCCAAAATAATAGCATTCACTTAACCAGTAATCTCATTTGCAAGAGTAGTAAGGAATTCCATATCTCTAGGAGCTTTCTAGTGCTAATTTTGATTCCTTTTATGTTTATGGTAGTCTAGATAATAAAGAAGTTCGAAAAATACCGGTAATTGCAATCTTCTCTGTGGGATCGACCCTTAATACCCTATACTCGCTCACGATTTGTATATTTGCGATAAACCGCGTGTGGGGTGTTTAGGAATTATAAATGTAAAACTTGATTGTGGATGAGCTAATTGATATATGTATACCCCGCGCATGTCAAGTTTTTGAAACTCCCCCACACTTGAACCATTGCTTGTCCTCAAGCAATCAACATATCTCCAACAACAATGATTCAAGAGGTGAAACACTATATGCATTTTTTTTCGAATTAAATTCCTCATAACTTGGTAAACAATCATTATGCACTTGTTCAATTTACACTAAATACTCATAATATCAAATAAAGGAAAGAGAATTATGCCATAAATTCAACAAGTTAAACTTAATCTCTTACGCCAACCTAATTTTACAAATAAGCAAGTCACATAGTCAATTTATAGCCTTCCTCCTCCTATAACCATCTTTTTCTCTAAATTTTACAACTACGAGGGATTTATTTACACTAATTTTACTTAAATAGTGAGAAAGTCTTTTTACGCGAAAATCGACACTTTTAGGTAAAGATCTCCGGTTACTCAACATTTCACTTATTTAAATTGCTATGCATACTCGTAATTCAAGTACTTTTTTACGCGAAAGTCGACATTTTGTAGATGCCAACACTCGGTTACTTGGTACAAGAATCATTGGAGTAGAAAAAAACCTCTTATTCTCTCTTTTTTTTTCTCTTTTTTCTCTTCTTTTTTTTTGTAAGCCAATAAATAAATTTTCCTCATAGAAAATATATAAGAATAATCAAAGGAGGAGTAAAACCTTTATTGACTATATCAATCACTTACTTGGAAAATTAAGTAAAGAGAAGAAATCTCATTAAATATGTAAAATTATAGGCATAATTTTCCTCACTTTATCGGATATACTTTCTAAAATGCAAAAATCCTAATTGCATAATAACCATTTCCAAGTCAAATGAGAACTAAATCTTCCAATATACATATAAAGTTTCAACAAGTGGAAGAATTAGGCACTTAAAGTTGGAACAAATTGGCCATTTTTAAATAAACTTGCAAAAATTTGAAAATTTTTTTTTGAGCCATAGTGAAATATTGGAAAAGATTTTAGAAAAATTTTGACAACATACCCAATTTCAAGCGAATTATCCATATGGCAAGATTTCTAAGCACAATTCGAACATTTCTAATCATTTAAAGTCGCAAAATATCATCACATAGCATTAAAGTGCAAGTTCAAATATTTTCCTCCCCCACACTTAAACTTCACATTATTCTCAATGTGAGAAAGGTAAAATAACGAAAGTAAGAGAAAATAATACTCCCCTAATGAACTTGCGCGATCCGAATCCATGGCAATGTGATGAATTTCCAACTTTACTTGAAAGAATGGAGAGTTCAATTAATGCACCTTGAAAAAGACAAAAATAAAACTTCTTAAGAATAAAAGCTTGCAACCAACAAGAAGAAAAGTGGAGTTGAAGGAGGAAAAAGAGGGAAGAATGAGGAAAAGTGGTCCGAGGCTTCGTTTTGGAAAGGATCCGAGGTCGTTTTTGAAAGGATCCGAGGTCGGATCATGATAAGTAAACTCGAATCAAGAAGCTTGAATTTTTTTCTGATCGCAGAAGTGGATCCGAGGCCTCGGATCCATATGGATCCCAGCTCGGATCCATTGAATCTGTGCTTATTGCAGAAGTTTCTGCAATTTTCAGTTTGGCCCCAATTTGAAACACACTCTCCGATTCGTGTTCTACAATGAAATTTTTAACAATTCAACACTTCACGCCCATGAAAAGTGACTTAAACATGAATCTCAACATCTCAAAACAAATCAAAAACATGTAGAATGCAAATTGAGGGTTGAGGTTCTTGGATCAAATAGTTCCCCTTGACACTTCCAATGCACATGGTAGTGCTCAAATGGTCAAAAGAGTGCAAATAGGTCATGAACACATTTAAACACTTGAATTCACTTTAACTTCATGCAAATGACTAATTTAACCACA